TATCCTTTGCCCACTTTTTGATGGGCTTGCTTGTTTTTTTCTCGTAAATTTAAGTTCTTTGTAGATTCTGGATATTAGCCCTTTGTCAGATAGGTAGATTGCAAAAATTTCCTCCCATTCTATAGTTTGCCCCTTCACTCTGATGGTAGTTTCTTTTGCTGTGCAGAAGCTCTTTAGTTTAATTAGATCCCATTTGTCTACTTTGGCTTTTGTTGCCATTGCTTTTGGTGTTTTAGTCATGAAATCTTTGCCCATGCCTATGTCCTGAACGGTATTGCCTAGGTTTTCTTCCAGGGTTTTTTGGTTTTAGGTCTAACATTTAAGTCTTTAATCCATCTTGAATTCATTTTTGTATAAGGTGTAAGGAAGGGATCCAGTTTCAGCTTTCTACATTTGGCTAGCCAGTTTTCCCAGCACCATTTATTAAATAGGGAATCCTTTCCCTATTTCTTGTTTTTGTCAGGTTTGTCAAGGATCAGATGGTTGTAGATGCGTGGTGCTATTTCTGAGGCCTCTGTTCTGTTCCATTGGTCTGTATGTCTGTTTTGGTACCAGTACCATGCTGTTTTGGTTACTGTAGCCTTGTAGTATAGTTTGAAGTCAGGTAACATTATTCTTCCAGCTCTGTTCTTTTTTGCTTAATATTGTCTTGGATATTCGGGCTCTTTTTTGGTTCCATATGAACTTTAAAGTATTTTTTTCCAATTCTATGAAGAAAGTCATTGGTAGCTTGATGGGGATGGTGTTGAATTTATAAATTACCTTGGGCAGTACGGTCATTTTCATGATAATGACTCTTCCTATCCATGAGCAGTGTCGTCTTTTGACGTCCATGAGCAGTTTGTGTCATCTTTTATTTCATTGAGCAGTGGTTTGTAGTTCTCCTTGAAGATGTCCTTCACATCCTTTGTAAGTTAGATTCCTAGGTATTTTATTCTCTTTGAAGCGATTGTGAATGGGAGTTCTGTCATGATTTGGCTCTCTGTCTATTATTGGTGTGTAGGAATGCTTGTGATTTTTGCACATTGATTTTGTATCCTGAGACTTTGCTGAAGTTGCTTATCAGCTTAAGGAGATTTTGGACTGAGACAATGGGGTTTTCTAAATATACAATCATGTCATCTGCAAACAGGGACAATTTGACTTCCTTTTTGCCTAATTGAATACCCTTTATTTCTTTCTCTTGCCTGATTGCCCTGGCCAGAACTTCCAACACTATGTTGAACAGGAGTGGTGAGAGAGGGCATCCTTGTCTTGTGCCGGTTTTCAAAGGGAATGCTTCCAGTTTTTGCCCATTCAGTATGATATTGGCTGTGGGCTTGTCATAAATAGCTCTTAATATTTTGAGATACACTCAGATTCTATACTTGACTGGCAAGGACTTTTTTTGGCTTTGTGTGGGAATGAATGAAAGTGCCATGACTGTTCCTTTTGCCTTCATATCCCACCCCAGTTACAGAAGTATGCTAGCCCCTCCCAGGGACACCTAACCTGGCCTGCCCTAGGATATTGGCATTCTGCTGTCCACTGCCAAAAAAAGACCACTGCTTTCCACTGTCCCAGTCCTGTGAGAGTAGGAACTCTGCCTCCATCATGGTTGGTGCCCAGAGCACACATACACCTGTAAATTTGGTCCAGGAATGTTTCTCTTTGGCATTAGACCAAACGGCTGTGATAGCTACATAGGTCACCCTAAGTTGTCCAAACTGAACCACTTCCCAGTCCTTTAACCCAATTTTTACTTCACATCTCCTTGCCTTTGCTCATGGTGTTCTCCACTCCGATATACCCTTGCCCATTCCTGCCTGTCCAGTTGCTACTTTTCCCTCAAGTATGTTACTACTTTAGGTAGCCCTCCTTGAGGTTCTCAGCCTGCAGCATCTCTCCTCCTCTGAACTCCTCTGGACTTTATTGGTGCCTTTCTTAGAGTATGCATCACCGGCTACCTTGAATAATGGTTCTTGGTATACAAGTCTTGCCTCCTTGCCATGGGTCCCTTGGCAATAGGACTCATATCTGAGTCACCTTCATCTCTGCCTCCACAGTGCCTGATCCAGGCTCATCAAACAAATGAAAGTGTCTCATGAAGCCATCATGGGTTATAGTCTTTTGTCCTTATATTGCATCGAAAGGTCAGTTCCTTGTACCCCACCCTTAGAGGTGCAGAAAGGTCTCTCTTCTCATCCTTAATATGAGTGTCTGCTCAGAGCTAGGCATGCCACAGGCACTGGGTCACCCTCTCTATGCAAACGACTTCTTCTCTGCATTTCTGAAACCACAGACTATTGGCCTGAGGCCCTGCCCTCCTTCAACTCCAGGACTGCGCAGCGTGGAAAGCACTCATGAGAATAGCCCCACACAGGCTGAGGTGTCCAGCCACTGCCTCTCAGTTTCTAATCACCTCCTTCTTTTCCCATGGCCATGTTGTTGGCCTGCTGTGATAGCAAGGTAGAGATAACAAGAGAAATTCCAAGGAAAACAGCTTATGCAGGTTTCTTTGGTGGGGGAAGGAATGAGCTGTAAAAGGTCGTCTGGTCTGTGCCCCTGCCTCTGGGGGATACTCTTGGTCTATTTTGGGTGAACAGTTGTTTCTCCGGTTCAGAGAACCTTCCCTTGGTCACATATTCTCACTCTTCAGAAACGGATTTTTGGCATTAACCCCTCCTCCCATGATTCACCCTCCTTCCTTCATGCATCTGACCTGCAATTGGTGGCAAAGGGAGACTGAGGGAAGCAGAAGCCAGGATCTGAGCAGAAGGAGTGAAGGGCAGACAGTGTTCTAGCTCATCGGGTCACCTGCTGGTGACCTCAGAGCTGACGTCCTGGGAGAGAGTGGGGCTCAGCCTTCCCCGGGAATCCTTCCTTTGTTTTGGCTCCTGGAAACTCTGGAATATTTCCGGGGAGCCTGAGAGTTTGGGGGCCATGACTTGAGGATAATGGAGTGCAACGGTTCTGGGGGCAGTGGTGGGGTGACCCACCTGGGAAAGGGAGTCATCCCATCCTTCCTGTGACATGGGGCAGTGGGGGCTGTGGAGAAGGTGAGGAGGCCCATGCAGCCTTGAGTGAGTCACACCCTCATGCACTTGATGGGCTCTTTCTTCCCCTTCTAACAGGGGCTCAGATCCTGGAGTAGGAGTCTCCCCAGCTCAGACTCTTTCTAGTCTGAGGGAGTGACAGACATAGGACAGCCCTAGGTAACCCCAGCCTGCCCTGTGGTCTCCACACATATAACACCTGGGGAGGCCTCCAGCCCTGCTGCTCACAGGATTTCTACCAGTCAGAGGAGTGCAGGAAACACGGGCCAGGAGGAAGAGAAGCATCTCCATTACCCTCTAACCTTTCTTGGCTTTCTCACCCTTGCAATCAACTATGCATGCCTGGGCTGCAGGAGAAGAGTCCAATTCTGAGCCCATTCTCCCCTCCGTCCAGAACCCACCCATCCTCCCAACTGAAGCCTAGAATAAAGGCTCTGCTTTGGAAATCTTTCCTCCAACACACCCACGCCAAGTAAATTTGCAAATGATCTGCCTGTATTAGCCTAATGTTTTAATGAAGAAATGTACAGAAAGCACATGCCGCACCCCTGCCCCCACCACACACACACCCTTGATGCCCTAGTCCTCACCCAGGTCCTCTGACCTCCTCTCCTCTTCCCTCCCTGTGGTCACAGCAGGCCCAGCTGTGCCCACCCTCCCTCCAAGGGGCTCAGCCCAGGAAAATAAGGAGCCGGCCCATCCTGCAGGCAGGTGCCCTTTGGATCTCCTGAAGTGAAGAAGAAAGAAACCCATATGAAGAGGGTCCGGGAGGTTCACTGTCATTCCGTTGAGTGACTTAGCTTGGAACCAGGAGGCAGAATGGCCTCCTCCCTTGTTTTTCTTCCCCAAGGACTTCATGTCCTCCAGGTCAAAACCTCACCAGGAGTCTTCTCACTCCTGTCTTCCTGGGGCTCTGGGCACAGCCTCCATCCTTGGGATTGGCCTCCCAGGCCAGTGCAGGTATCAGAAGTGAAGCTTCGAGGGTCCAGGACCATCCCAGGGTGAGGTGAGTCTAGGCGCTGGGTTCTGCAAGACACAGGATATTCCAGTTGGTCCAGAGGGGCAGCCACCCTGCCCCACACCTGTTCAGTGGTGAAGAAAACTCAGCATGGTGCTTAGGCTACAGGCTCTGCCATCAGGGGTGTGGAGCCACCATGTGCTCTCTGAGCTTGGGCAAAACCCTTTGCTGGCCCCTCGGGGAACCATAGCCACACCCAATGCCAGCTTTGTTCCGGGACGACATGTGTACACAAGCTGGGGTGCTTTGAGCGTGGCTTCCTAATGCCTAAGCATGGGCTCTGCAGAGAGGAGAGATACTCTGCTCCAGTGCAGAGGGGTCGTTTTTCCACAAAGGTCACCTGAGGCTTGCCTTTTATTACTATTCAAAATATAAGGTGTTTTAAGTACTATTGAAGGAAAAACTTTATTAACATATATTATCTGCAGTACTGAAAAGGAGACTACCAATGAGAGAGTCAGCATGGCTTTCTAGGCACTAAATGTCCATATCTCGACATATTTAAGAAAGAACAATACGGATGCCTGTTCATTTCTCAGCCTGCAATGTGTCGTGTGGCCCCACTGGGAAGCTTAGGTGGGCAGTACACAGCCTTTCAATCAAGAGTTGCTCACCAAGTTCAAATACCTCAGTTTAAAAGTGGACAAATCGGCCAGGCACAGTGGCTCATGCCTGTAATCCTAGCTCTTTGGGAGGCTGAGACAGGTGGATCACCTGAAGTCAGGAGTTTGAGACCAGCCTGGCCAACATGGCGAAAACCTGCTTCTACTAAAAATACAAAAAAATTAGCCGGGTGTGGTGGCGGATGCCTGTAATCCCAGCTACTCGGGAGGCTGAGGCAGGAGAATATTTTGAACCCAGAAAGTGGAGGCTGCAGTGAGCCGAGATCACGCCATTGCACTCTAACCTGGGCAACAAGAGCAAAACTCCATCTCAATAATAATAATAATGATAATAATAACAACAACAATAATTTTTTTTTAAAAGTGGGCGAATCGAGACCACATGTGGGCTTGTGTTGGTAGGTTAAATAGCTGAAAGTTCATAGAGTCAGGCAGAGTGTCCTGGTCTCCTGACTCCCCGCTGAATCCCTCTAGGCGCCCCCCGGAGGCTCCCTGAAGGCAGGCAGGTGACTGCTCTCCTGGCTCTCCTTCCTGTCCCACTGCCAGGGCAGCCACCATTACCTATGACAATGAGGGTGGCAGTACTGACTGCCTGGCCCAGTGTGTTCTCGGCCACAGCCTTGTACTCGCCGCTGTCCTTCAGGGATACGCTGGGGATGGTGAGGGAGCACACGCCCATCAGGTCAGTGCTGTACACTGCGGGGTTTCCTTCCAGGCTGCGGTCGTTCTTGAACCAGGTGACGTGGGGCCGGGGCGAGCCCTGCACGGCGCAGCTCATGCAGCACTCGCAGCCTTGGGGCAGGAGATGGGACCGCAGGCCCACCAGGAACCGGGGCTTCTGGCTCAGGTCAGGCTCCCGGTAGCTCTGAGCCTTCACTGTGAACCTGTCTGTGGTGAAAGCCGGGGTGAGAGGGAGGAGGGTGAGAAAGTGAGGAAGGCCTGGCTGAGACTGGAGTCTGGGTAGAGAGCTCAAGACACTACCATGTAGGCCTTACCTGGGATTTCCTGCCACATCTTGCCTGCAAATTTGGACCCCAAGGCTTGCCTCATTCTATCCTTTTCCCAAAATTCTTTATGGATTTTTTTTTTTTAACTTTATGGATTTTTTGGTAGCTAACACACATTCACTGTGGACAATGCGAATACACCGAGAATCAAAGGAGAAAGAACAAAAACCAGTCATAATGTCACTACCTGTAGATGACCATAGCTGACATTTTGGTGTAGAGCTTTCCTGACATTTTTGTATTTTAGGAAAAAGAAACCTTCATTTGATTTTATAGCCTGCTCTTCTAGTGACTGATCTTAAGGTCCACATCTACCTTGCTGTAAAATACACTTTGTTTTCAGAGAAATGTTAACCTCTATTTGCCTTATTGTCTGTGACTGCTTTTGAAAATCCTCCCAAAGGCACCTCAGACACCCAAACACCCACACCAATCTCATTCTCCCCACGGAGGTCAGGGGTGCAGAGGATGTCAGTACAGGTAGGTGTGAGGCAGGAGAGGGAGGAGCAGCAGCTCAGGGATGCTGGCTGTTATTTGGCATGCTCCAGGCCATCTCTGCCACAGTCCCTATCCTGTGCACCTGCCATGCTTGGGTGCATCCCGCTGCACTGCAGAGCGCAACCCCCACCCTGTCTGCTCCTCCCTCTCAGGGGCTGCTTACCGCGCTGCCGGGGGATGCACCAGGGCTGGCTGGTGTACGAGGGTTTGCTGGCCCCCAGCTCATTCTTGGCCACCACCCTGAAGTGGTACTCGTGGCCAGGGAGGATGCCCAAGAGGGTGAAGCGGTTGGTGTGGATGCGGTCAGCTGCCTCGCGCCAGGGGCCATGCACCGAGGAGCGCGTGAACACTGCATAGTGTAGCGGGACACCCCGGGCCTCGTCCGGAGAGGGCTCCCACTCAGCCGTCACCGTCCCAGGCACGTTCTCCTGCAGGTGGATGGGCCCAGGTGCCTGCGGACACGCTTCAAGAGAGACGGCAGAGGGAGGTCACGTGGAGGGGACCCAGCAGGGCTGCTGCCAGCCCCCTCCAGGTCCCAAGTCTTCTGAGGGTCCTGGGGAATGCAGTCTTGCCACACAGGTAGCTGGGGCCAGAGTGAGCTTGGCCAGAGGTCCACAGTTATCTCTAGAGGGTAGAAAATCTCTCCAAAAGAGTAATTATAATTCACTTCAGTTTTTAAGAAAATGACACAGGACAAGACATGCATTTTTGGACAGAGGCAGGGCTCTCATGAGGCAGCATTACAGAGCCCCCACTGTTAGTCTATTTGATCATTTCTGGATATCCAGAAGCTCCTCCAGGGCAGGGGCTGTGTGGAGCCACAGCTGGGGAGGAAAGCCTTTATTCTGTGCAACGGCTGCAAACAATTTTGTCCCATGGGTCTTTGGAGTGATGTAACAGTGGTGACAGCCTCTGCTCACTGACTCAAAGGGAAGGATAACTGAGGTTGGAGAGGAGATATGACATGACTGTCTCTAGGCTCCTGAGGCAGAAGGACAATGGAAGTCCCTGGGGAGCTTCCGGGGTCCTTTCTACTTTGTATCATCAAGCACAGAGGAAAGGTGGAGAATGGTCACCTTGCATACCTAGCCCTGGTAGAGTGGCTGAGACCTATGACCAGACCTGTGCACATCTCCTTGCCTTGGTGAGTGGCCAAGCCAGTGTCCAGAGCCCAAAGCCAGGCCTGCCTCACCTGCCACCCTGATACGGAAGCTGTGGGCAACTTCCTTCCCCTGCAGGGTCCTCAGCACTACAGTGTAGAGACCACTGTCTGAGAGGCCAGCCACAGGGATCAGAAGCTGGGTGAGGCCATCCTTAGTGACGGTCACACTTCTTTTGGGCAAGGGCAAGCCGTCCTTCAGCCAGGTCACCTCAGGCATGGGCACGGCCTGAGAAAGGAGAGGAAGGAAAAGTTGAGAAGGGCAGCCGGCAGTTTCATGGAGGTGATGGCATTTAAGCTAGGCTGAAGGTAGAAGTGGTGAGAAGAGCCTTGTACAAGGAGAAAGTTGGCAAGAAAACACAGAACGTCGACAAGAAAACACAGGTGGGAAAGAGGGGTGGTGATAAAGTGTGAGGTTGGCAGATGGGGATGGTAGGGGGGCAGTGGAACAGGAAAGGGAGTTGGACGAGGAGGTTTGGCAAAAATGCAAAGCGCCCTCCACGTCACACCTGTACAGACATCTGGATGTTATCCTGTAAGCCAGGAGCCACTGTTGTCAGATTCTGAGCAGGAAAGCATAATGAGTTCTGGATCCACATGGCAGGGGGTGGGATGGGAATGAGAAGGGATGTGTGGGGAGGGGAGTGTTAACTACCCTGGCACCCACATAGGAGATAATTTGGCAAAAGTCTAGGAGGAAGATTTCGGTGTCCTGGCCTTGAACTGTGGTGACCTTTAGCAGGGTGGGAAGGCCAGCCCAGCTGCTTGGTGACCATGCCGCCAGTTCCCTACAGGGCCCTCAGTACAGGGCACAGTGGGTACCAGAGTCAAATGAAGACACTGATAGTAACTAACTGAACTTACAGGATTGTTCTGAGAATTTAAAGTGTTAATAATAAATACATGGAAAGCAGAGAGAACAAGACCTAGTACATGATAATTACTCAACGTGCATTAAATATTTTTGTCATCATTATCACTATCATTATTGTGGTTACCAACAAGTCTTTTAGAGTAAGATAGACTGGTTTGAATCTGGCTCTGTGTGCTATGAGCTTCCTACACAGATGATGATGATTTTAAACAATAATAATATTAAAACATATTGGGTGCTGCCATATGCCAGGCCCTACATATACACTTTCAATATATTAATTCCTTGAACCCTCGGACCTTTGAGATAGGTTACTATTATTATCCCCTTTTGACAGACGAGGAAGGTGAAACACAGAGATGTTAAGATATTTGTCCTGGCTGGGCACAGTGGCTCACACTTGTAATCCCAGCACTTTGGGAGGCCGAGGCGGGTGGATCACCTGAGGTCAGGAGTTCAAGACCAGCCTGGCCAACATGGCAAAACCCCAGCTCTACTAAAAATACAAAAACTAGCCAGGTGTGACGGCGGGCGCATGTAATCCCAGCTACTCCGGAGGCTGAAGCAGGAGAATCGCTTGAACCCAGGAGATGGAGGTTGCAGTAAGCTGAGATCTCGCCACTGCACTCCAGCCTGGGCGACAGAGTGAGACTCCATCTCTAAATAAATAAATAAATAGTATTTGTCCAAAGTCAAACGGCTGTGAGTGATGACGTCAAAATTTGAACCCAGGCAGTTTGTACTTTTAGCCACCACCCTACTGTTATAAAGTCAGATGGTGTTAGTGTTGGTTAAGGATCACCCTGAGTCAAATGTAGGTCATGTGATTGCACAAAAATACATTGTGAAGCCAAAGGGGACCATTGGCACGGTCGGCTTTCTGAATTCCCAAACTAGGAGAGGTGGAGAGCCGGAAGAGCCTTAATTTGGAGGTGCAGTAGCAGAAGCTACCACTAGAGGGATTTGCAGGCCTGGAGCAGAATGGCCACCCAGTGGCCAAGTGAGGGCGGTACCTTTAAGGAGGACCTGAATCCTTCCTTCCTCGTGTCTCTTGCCTGATTTCCACAAGCCCAGGACACTGACTAGGGGCCAAAAAGGAACAAGGAAAAAAAGAGAGCCACAGGGCTGAGTCTGGCCCCCTTGGCCTCTCTGGGCTTCCCTCCCCATACCCCTGTAGGTACACTCACTTCAAAGGAGACGGGCACACGAACAGTGTCCCCGACCTTGACCGTCAGCAAGTCCTTGGTGCTGGAGTCCACAAGGAACTTAGGACAGACTGAAACACACAAGAGGACTGGTTACCTCCCTTCTGCCTCACAGTTGGACCCCAGCCCCAGTTCCCCAGCAAGGCAGGGCTGGAGGGGAAGAATGGGCCAGTTGGGATGCTGAGATCCCAACACGTTGGGGCCTCTAAAGCACTGGAGTGCAGCTGGGAGCAGAATCTTCAGGGGGGACCCCAGGGGCTGGTGGGGAGATGCTAGCAGGGGAGGGACAGGAGCTGAGAAAGGGACCCTGCAGGGAGAGGGGTGGACTAGGCTGGAACAGAGGAAGATGCTGATATGTGGTAGAGCACTTATGTTTTGCAGATGAGATAGACACCAATCTAAGACAGGAAGTGACTTGCCTGAGGTCACACCTTTTTTGGGAGAAAGCCAGGACAAGATTCTGGGACTCTGGACTCCATGTGCTGTGTTTGTGTCTCCCTACTGTCACAGTGATGACTAGGGTCAGCTGGGGTGGCCCAGTGTCAGCTTGGGTCAAAGGCAGGTCAGGTGCTTGTAGTGGTTAAAGCCCAAAGGGAAAGACAATCCTCTTTTCAATAATAACGGGGAGCTGGGCATGTCCCATTCTGAACGTGAACCACAGGAGCTGAGCTGCACTTAGGCCTTCTAAGGCCATGCGCAGGTAGCAGCCACTCTCTCTCCTAGAAAACATCAACTTTGGAGTCTCCAGGTTTAAATCCTGGCTCTACCACATACCATTGGTGACAACGTGGGCAAAGTACCTTGAACCTCAGTTTCCTTCTCTGTAACTTCAGAATAGAAACATTAAAGTTGTAGTATAGTTACGAGTCGTAATGAGAAAACATTTCTAAGAAGGGACTGCCTAGCCCAGTGCCTAGCACCTAGTAGGTGCTCAATAAATGTTACTTCCTGAAACTGAGGGTGGAGATCCTGGCTTAGCAAGTGCATGGCAGCTACTCAGGGGCCCCTCTCAGGAGGGGCTTGCAGGGCTCAGAGGTCGGGGAAGGAGGCAGCACTCACCAGTAACAGGCATAGCTTGCACTAATGTGTCCAGGGCAGTGGGCTGGCTCTGACCTCCTTCATTAACTGCTGTCACCCGCACAAAGTAGCCCTCTCTAGGCCGAAGGCCCTTGGCCGTGTAGGTGGTGACTGGCACGGTGCCCGCATGGCACGGGAGCCACTGGAGACTGTCTGAGCCACACAGCTCCACCACATACCCCTGGGCTTCGTCCCCGTCCTTGGTGTCTGGCCCAGCCCAGATCAGAGTGATGCTGGTGTTCGATGTGTCTGTGACTTGGAGATTCCTCACCGGCCCAGGGGGTCCTGCCAGGCAGCATGGGAGTGTCAGGAATGGCGTCTCCTGAGGGAGGCCACTCAGTGTGGATATTGATTGCCTTCCTTGTGGGAGACTGGGAAATTTTTCCACTTAGCAATTCTGCCTTTAGATTCTTCCTGAAGCACCTACCTTGTTCCAAATTCTTACTGTAACCAGCACTTTGTCTCCGTTATGCACACAGATCCCAGGCCACCTCTCCCAGGAAGCCTCCCCCAACTCATTTCCCTCATTCACTCACAACCTGCCAAATACCTTCTCCTAACTATCCTTCTGTAATTCCAGAAAACCGATATTTTAGTTGATGACCTCTTAGGTTCCATTATCCCGTAAGACTGGACTTCTACATGTTTTTATTCTGGACTCTAAACTCTTAGAGTCAAGACTCTGCCTTTTGGGTACTCAGTGCAGGCTTCTTGTTCTCCACTTGTTACATGAGAACAATAATAATAGCCCCACCTACCCACAGAGGTTTTAGAACAAGCAAAAAGCACAATGAGCGTGGAATCACCTGGTGAGCTTAAAAATACTGGCACCTAGATGCCACCTCAGAGATTCTGATTTAATTAGTCTGGGGTGCAGTCTAGGCATCAACATTTTTAAGAATTTTCCAGGTGTTTCTAAATATGCAATGAAGTTTGAAAACCACTAGGCTAGGGCAGTACTTCTCAAACTTTAATTAGTATAGAAGTTACCTGGGGATTTTGGTAAAAATACAGACCCTTATTCAGTAGGTTTGGGGTGAGGCCTGAGATTCAGCATTTCTCATAAATTTTAATAAGATGATGTTGCTGGGCCATAGGCCTTGCTTAGCAGCAAGAATCCAGAAAATGTAGTGATTGCTGTGGCTGCTGTTAGACACTGCTTATCCTATCCATTGTCTCTACTTCCCACCACTGATAGGAGAGATTAATAGGCTGTGGGTCCATGGCTCATGCCTGTAATCACAGCACTTTAGGAGGCCGAGGCAGGAGGATAGCTTGAGACCAGGAGTTCAAGACCAGCGAGACCCTGTCTCTACAAAAACATAAATTAGCAGGGTGTGGTGGCACATGCTCATAGTTCCAGCTGCTTAGGAGGCTGAGGCAGGAGGATTGCTTGAGGCCAGGAGTTCAAGGCTACAATGAGCCAAGATTGCATCACTGCACTCCAGCCTAAGTAAAAGAGTGAGATCCTGTCAGAGAGAGAGAGAGAGAGAAAGAAAGAAAGAAAGAAAGAAAGAAAGAAAGAAAGAAAGAAAGAAAGAAAGAGAGAGAGAGAAAGAGTGTGAGAGAGAGAAAGAGAGAGAAAGAGAAAGAGAAAGTGTGAGAGAGACAAAGAAAGAAAGAGAGAGAAAGAAAGAAGAGAGAGAGAGAAAGAAAAGAAAAGAACAGAACAGAGAAGAAAAAGAAAAGAAAGAGAAAAGATAGGACAGCCTTGGTCCATTTGCAAGGAGTAAGTTGCATGGGCCAGCTTTCCTCCCCGATCCCTCCATTCCACACTCTGCCCTTCCTAGGACTAAAACTCAGATACGACTTGAACAATGAAACTTACAGAATGTTCCGGTCTTGTTGGGTTCATTCAAACAGCCTGAACACCTGCAATGGGCTAGGCTCTGTGGGGCACAGAGATGCTCTCCAGGTGTTGACTACCTGGCCCATCCAGCAAGTGCCAGAAATGTGCTGCTCCCCAGAGGACCTGGTGTGGGCAAGCTCATTAGGGGATGAGAAATACAAAGCAGCATTTTCTAAGCTGTATGCCTTGGAGTGACGCTTTTAATAGGTATTTTGTGAAAAAGCTAGATTTGGATCAAGGTTAGATAGGTTTTTTTCCCCTGCAGGAAACATCATAGGCTCACATCATACACATCTTTGATCACAGACATTTTTTGCTGTTCCTGTTGTTCTCAGAATGTCTGTTGGCATCTCTCGATACACTCCATGTTCTCAAGACCACAGGTCTCAGATAGGAAATGCTATCTCAGACTGTAAGTTTCTCAAGGGCAGAGACCAGGATCGATTCACCTACTTCCTGGCACAATGCTGGCCATTTAGTAGGTGATGGGCAAATATTCATTGGATAGAGAATTGACGCTGAGCTTCCCCTGTCACCTGCTCTCTGTCCTGCCTGATGGGCGCACAGGGGTGAGTGGATGCTTATGGGACTAGAGCAGGTGGGCCAGACTGGGGGCTGGCCTGCCTAGAGGCCAGAGTGAGTGAAGTGATCCTGAAAAGAACTCCCCCTTTTTATTTTGTTTTATTATTATTTTTTTGAGACAGGATCTCCCTCTGTCATGCAGGCTGGAGTGCAGCGGTGCAATCATAGTTCACTACAGCCTCCAACTCCAGGGCTCAAGCAATCCTCCTGCCTCTGCCTCCCAAAGTACTAGGATTGCAAGTGTGAACCATTATGCTTGACAGGGAAGGAATCTTCTAATCCCACTGCCTGGCTTCTGGGCCTATTTGATCTCAATATAGGGGCCCTAAGATGTGGCTCACCCGAGAGGCCTTTTGATTTTTATATCTCAGCCCTCCTGACCATGTCCTTCAGGACTGCCCCAACCTGTGACCTGTGACCTTCCGTCAAGTCCCACCCAGTTTCAGGGCTATCCCGTGCTCACCCCCACCCCCATCCTGGGTTGGTTCCCTACTTACTCATGGGGTCCCGAGCAAAGACGGCATCTGAGGGGGGTCCAGGCTCTCCAGGGCCTGAGGGAGTCACAGCTGTGACCCGGAACTCGTACTGACAGCCCTGCCGCAGGTCCGCCACCGTCCACCTCCTCTCTGTGAACAGCCCGCTCATGTGAGTCCCACCCGGATGGGGCTGGACATGGGGAGATAGCTTGGGTGCCTCCAAGTTCTGAAGGAGACCAAGCCTGGGGTCCTAACACATTCCTCCCTACAGCCCTCCACGTGCTGTGACTCCGTTCCCTCCAAAGTGGAAAGAGCACTGCTCAGGGTGTCAGGGGCCTCGGATTCCTGTCTGGTTCCACCACTAACTTGCTGGATGTTCTTGGGCAAGTACCTTAATCTCCCTGGTTGTCTCTGCCTTACAGAGTTGCTGTCATATTTAAATAAAGCAGGATAACTAAATAGTGAAATTGTAAGGCTGCCCTTTGTTCATCTCTCTTTCCAGAGATAAGGAAACTGAAGCCCTGACAGGCCTCAGCTTCTAAGTAGCAGAGCCATGACCTGAACCCAGGTCTCCTGGCAAGCTGTTCTGAACCCGTTCTTCCCTCCTCAAACCTGGACTTCTGCAGCACACACGCAGAGCAAAGAAATGCTAAGGGCTACCAGAAGACCCCTCGCATCTGCCCAGCCCTTTGGCTTTTCCAAGTTCTTTCTGATCTCAGAATGCAGTTTGTTTCTTAGGAAACTACTTAGTGGGGCAGGGGACCCTCCTCTCCACTTCATGGATGTGGAAATTCAGATCTAGAGAGTAAGTGAACTGTCCAAAGTCAAGGCAAAAAGTAGAGGGGCCAGGGCTAACAGCTCCATCTCTGGCTCCCAGCTGGGATTTCTGAATCTGGGCTTCTTGACCTCAGCATGATTGACATTTTTTTTTTTGCCAGATACTTCTTTGGGATTTTTGACAGGAGGGGGTGCGTTCTGTCCTGTGTACTGTAGGATGTTTAACAGCATACCTGACCTCTTTGCACTAGATGCCAGTAACATCTACCCTCCACCCAGTTGTGACCATGAAAAATATCTCCGGATACTGCCAAACCACCCTAGATAAGAACCACTGTATTAAACCAATCTGAACTGACAAGTTCCTGGCATCCTGGAGCCAGGAGCGGTCTAAGGAAGCTCTGGAAGCCAGGACAATGCTCACCAGGCACCGGCTGGTCGTTCACTGCTGTCCAGGTGCTGCTCCCCTTCTTACGCCTCTCGATCAGGTAGCCCAGGATGTGGGCGCTGCCAGGGCCCCTAGGTGCCGTCCATGTCAGCGTGATGCCCTGGCTGGAGGCTGACAGGATGGCTGGCGCGGAAGGGGCCTTGGGGAGAGCTGGGGGCAAGGAAGATTCCAGTCAGCCAGAGGCCTTGAAAGGTGCCAGCTCATGGGGAGCCCCTGGGGGTAGGAGGCAGGGGCATCTGGGGCAGGCCACACTCCTCCCTGTCCTGGCGAGTGTGGGGGCTGAGCCAGCCCACCCTAGGTCAGTGTTCCGGCTATTCAAGGGAAGGAATGAAAAGACAGAGAAGGCACCGTAGCACCGTGGCCTCGGAGCCTAGAGCCAGCCCTGAGGCCCCTCCGCCTCCGGTCCCCTGATAGGATGTTGGAGGTGGATGCCCCTCTCTCCCTGGGGCGTGAGACAGTAGGCTTTGCTGGCCCATACCCTCACTCCCGGAGACTCTGTAAAACACTTCCTCATCTGGGTGCCAGATCCCAAATGCAGCTGAAGGAAGGAGTCTCCAGAGTGCTATAGAAGGGCCTCCAAAGCCCTGAGCACAGGCTGGTGTCATTCAGCCTCTGGGACAGCCTGCCCTCCTTGGCACAGCGGGGAGCCCAGGAGTGTCCTCCACCCCCAGCCCCAGCCTTTTCTCTCACCCTCAGGAGCCACCAATGTTTCCTCGGACTCCAGGGCCTCGCCAGCCCCCTCCGAGGTCACAGCCCGCACTCGGAAGGCATACTTCCTGCCTGGCTCCACATGGGCATCCGTGAAGGTGGTGCTGTCAGCGGGGGCCTCGCCCACCTTCAGCCAAGTGCTCCTGCCAGCCTGCCGTCTCTCCACCACGTAGCACTCTACAGGCTGGCCCCCATCATCCCTTGGGGGCCGCCAGCGGAGGCAGGCACCAGCCCTGTGGCAATCCTGAACTTCCATGGGGCCTTGTGGGGGGTCAGGCTTGTCTGGGGACCCACAGAGAAGAGCAGGAAGAGGAGGGGTCAGAGGAGCTAGAAGGGAACGGTGCCGCCCCCCGCCCCCCTTCACCACTCATCAGTGAATAAGTCTGCAATGGGGCAGACTGTCCAGAGAGCCTTGGGCATTACCCAGAGGGCCGCACATTCTTGAGACGTCCCCACCCCCAACACATATGTGCACCCAGGGATGTGCCATGGAATGCACCAGCCCGTCCCAGCTCCACCGTCCGGGGGCTGGTATGGGCACCTGCTCGGCCCACAGCAGTCCTACCTTGCTGGCACCACTCAGGGCTGGGGACCACCATCCTACCCAGCAGCTTCCTGAGGGCCCAGTGCATTGGGGTCAGAGAAGCATAATCAGCTCCCCGCCGCCCAGCAGGAGCCCAGCACTGTGTTGATCTCAACTGCTTCTTCCTAAGCAGTCTGAGCAGAATTAGGGGTAGGTCTGGATCTTAAACAGCATGCAAATGAGGATCAGAGCCACCAGAGATCACACCCCAGGCCTGCCCTTGATGGCAGGGAGGGCGCAGAACCCTGGGGACTCTCAGGCCTTGGTTGGGGGAAGATGGGGTTGGTACCTAGGACTCGCAGGGTGAGCTCAGCCTGCACAGAGCCTCCCTCACTCCTCAGCGTCACACTGTACTGGCCACTGTCCTTCCTGCCTGTGCTGGGGAGGCACAGCCGCGTGTAGCCGTCCCCCAGGTCCACCTGGGCCTCCTTGTCACCACTGCCCACCACCTTGGCCCCGTCCTTTCTCCAGGCAGCCTGAACGGGGAGGTGGCTCTGGAAGGGGATCTTCACTGTCACCGGCTTCCCAGCCTTGACCACCAGTGGCTCTCTCAGTTTCTCTGTCACATCTGGAGCAATGGTAGGGGAATCTAGAAATAAAACAAGAGAGTCAAAGACCAGAGCACTGGGCACTGGGGAATGCAGAAAGGAGGACGCAGAGAAGGAAATCTGGGGGAAGATTAAGGAATCCCCTGCCCTGCCACAAAGGGAAGGGGCTTCATCTGCAGCGGGAGAGACCAGGCTTAGACCTCATCAAGGACTTCCTGACAAGGAAAGAGCTAAGATGCTGGAATAGGCAGAGTATGAGTTGGCTTTTTAAATCATCTTCTCTGGGGATGAGATTAGATACTGGCTGCAGAGTAGCCACAAATTCAGGTGTTTTAAAGCAAGGCATATCACCTGGTACAAAGAGACTGTGGGACAGGGCAGGGCAGAGCTAGGCCTTACCTTGGACAGTCAGAGTGGCCTCGCTCTGCTGGTCACCAGCTACAAAGGTATACCTCCCGGCTTGGGTCCCCTGCACGTGCGCGATGAAGAGGCTGTGCACGAGACCATCTTGCTTAAAGATGACTCCATCCTGGGAGGTGAGCTGGAGACAGGGCCACAGCAGGAGAAGGTCACCCCACTCCCATCCCAGCTCCTCCAGGCCAGCTAACCAGAGCCCTTTACAGATGTCGGGATCCTGATAACAGCTGTGTGAATGGAATGCTTACTGTGTGCCAATGCTCTCTGTGCTTAGCACCTTATTTAATTGTCATAACAACCTTATGAAGTAAGTGCTATTATTAGTCCCACTTCATAGATGAGGAAGCCAGACTGTTCGCCAGCTTGCTTGAGGTCACATAACTGGTGGTGGCAGAGCCGGGATCTGAAGCCAGACCTAGCTGATACTGAGCCCCATGCCCTGAGTCACTTTGATGTTTCTCTTGGGGTGACAGCTTTAATGGAGGACAGGGAGGTTGTGCAGGGGGACGAGGGCCCCCTTCTGGTAGGGATGAGAAGATGGCATTTATACAAGCCCTTGAAGGATGGGTAGGATTCAGCAGGTATGGGTATAGAAGAGGCGTTTTGGATGGTGGAAGAACAAGGGGTGTGCTGCAGGGCGTAGGATACACATCATTTAAAAATCCAATTTTATTTTAAACACACCAAGTTATTGGCTATTTAAACTTCTCCTGACGTGGATACATTAGTAAAATGAAGAATGAAAAATCTTTCTTTCAAAGCCTCTACCCTCTTCTTGTTCTCTGCTTTACCTCTGTCCCTCCTGCTGGTAAAGAGAAGCTGTGAGGGGAGGCAGTACCTTGACGCCATCCTTAAACCAGGTGCCGGGTCCCAGGTCACTGGTGAGGGTACAGGAGAGTGTGGCAGCCTCCCCCTGCTGCACCTTCATGTCAGCCAGGCCCTGGGAGAAGTGGCCTATGGGGCCGGGAGAGACACAGAGGGGGTTGCCAGAGCTGAGCCTCCCAGGCCATGGCCTGTGCTGGGCCCTGCAAGGCCACCATGGTCCTGCCAACTGGGCACTGCTGGTGTCAGCAGGGGTGGTTCCCAGCATCTATGCTGCCTTGGTGCCAATGCCCTGGTCTTCCTAGACAGGAGCCCAAGCATTGCTGCTTTTCTCAGCAGCACCTAGGCTGGTCCAGGAGACCTGGGGTGTAAGGTATACGAAGGCCCCCTTCCTCCCACCGCTGCAAGTCACCCAGGTGAGAAGTCTGGTAACCCACAGAGAGTTGGGTCAACAACTCTGGTGCTGTGGACATAAGGTTTCAAGAGCAAAGAGGTCTCCTAGGAGAACATTGAGCCTCTCACACGCTGGACCCCATCTTCATAAAGAGGAAGAGGTTGCTTCCTAAATTTGCAAAAGGTTCCTGAGAATGGGGAGTACTGGCAGGGACAAAATCCTGGGGCCGGGGGCAGAACTGGGACAGACCCAAGTATCCCAGTGGCCAGGGAGCTCCCCACTGTCTCTAGCCCATGGGAGCCAGCTTAGCAGAGAAGCACCTACCTCGGGCCTCCTTGGAGAAACTGCCAGTGCCAGGCTTATATCTGGATGTGGAACTCTGGGTAGCATCTCTCCTCTCTCCATAGATGTCCAACCTGCCATCTTTGCCACCTCTCCTGCTACCAAGGTGACCGGGGGGCTCCCGGCTCTGATCTTCATTCAGCATCTCCTCCAGGCACCCCCGGTTCTCCCCCATAGACTGCCATCCCATGCTTCCAGCCTCATCCGCTCCCCTTCTCTTTCCTCCTCCCACCTCAGCCCCTGACTGTGCCTGAGACCTGCTCCTAAGTGAGCCAGGCCTCCTGCCTGACCTCCCAGCCTCTTCCACTCCCTGCACCTCATCCTCCTTTAGGGCCCCAGGACCCTGGACCTCACCATCCTCAGCCTCCAGGGACCCCTGCTCCCCGAGGGACCTCTTTCCTCCTCTCTGTCCCTTGCCTAGCTGAGAGCTCAGGTCCTGGGTCCCTCCTGACCTATCTCCAGAGGCTCTTCTGCCAAAGGGACCATCTAAGCCATTCCAGGCTCCCTGAGGTCCTGACTCCCCAGGTTTTGGGATGACAGCATTCCCCCGCTCAGTAGAATTCCCCTTGCCCAGGATACCTGAGTCCTCTGCACCACCAGAACTGCCGCTTCCACGACTTGAACCTTTGCTATCCAGGGACCATGGGCTTCGGCATCCACCAGCCACCTCTTGGCCTGGTGCACCCTCCCTGCCCTTAAAGCCCCCTGGCCCTTCATGGATCCCACCAAAAGCGGCATCTTTTTCCTGCAGAGAACCGGAAACTCTGGAGCCTGCGGGCTGCTTCGCAGCACCTATGCTGCCTCGGCTAAACCCCTGGTTTTCCCAGTCAGGAGCCCAGGCATTACTCATTCCTAGTCCATCAGCAGGCCCTGATGTTGACTTGCCCCTTTCCCCAGGCATAGAGCTGCTGTCCAGATCCTGGCCTGTCCCCGCTGAGCTCCCTGAGCCTATCCTTCTGCCTCCCAAAAGTGAGTCCCCGCCTCCCTGAGATGCCAATCTCCCCTGGCCAGCAACTCTACCCCTGTCTGTCATTCCTGGGCCTGCTTTCCAGATGTCCTGTTCATGTCCAGACCCCAGAGCAGCCATTCCTGCCCAGGTTTCACCTTCTACTGCCCCCTTGCCATCAAGAAACCCAGAAGACCCCATAATCCCTGCTTGGTCTGGAGACCTATCCTTTGCCCTGGGAGCCCCTCTGTCCCTAGAAGACCCTGGAGTCCCAGAACTATCTTGCCATTCTTTGACATCTGGTTTTCCCTTGGCACCAGCAGCCTCCAAGGCCTCAGGGATCCCTGAGGTTCCATAGCCCCCAAGATCTTTGGTGGGGCCTCTCTCATCTGAAAGAGTCTGTGGCCCTCCCTGAGACCCCAGCACCCCTGGGCCCCTGGGGCTGTCTCTCTGTGCCATGCCACCTGCAGTGCCCAGCATTCCAGTCATCCCAGGTTCCACCCTAGGTACTGCCCCATCCACAAGCCCTGTTTCCCTGGCTCGCTCTGGACCATCCTTGCAGCTCGTGCCACCCTCTGATGCTACCCAATATCCTGACCCGTGCCCCATGGCTTTGTGGCCTCTGGGTCCAGCCTCATGTCCTATTCCAGCTGGTGAGCCTGGTACTCCAAGCCTCCCTGAACCATCTCCATAACCCATCTCACCCTCTGGCCCCATTTCCCCAGATCCTCCTGAGCCTCCCCTATAACTGACCTCACTCCCTGACCCCATGCCACCAGTTCCCCCAAAGCCTTGCCCACAACCTGCCTCACTCCTTGACAAAATGTACCCAGAATCCTCCAAACTACCCCTAGAACCTGCCTCACTCCCTAATGGAATCCTCCCAGAACCCCCTAAAACATTCTTATAACCTGCCTCACCTCCTAAACTAATTTTTCCAGAACTGCCTAAACCATTCCTGTAATCTGTATAACTCCCTGAATCCATTCCCTCAGGAGCTCCCAAATCCTTTCTATAACCTGCCTCATCCACTGACCCCATTTCCCCAGAACCCCTTAAACCATCCCTAAAACCTGCCTTACTCCCTGAACCCATTCCCTTAGGAGCCCCCAAATCCTTCCTGTAACCTGCCTCATCCACTGACCCCATTTCCCCAGAACCCCCTAAACCATCCCTAAAACCTGCCTTACTCCCTGAACCCATTCCCTTAGGAGCCCCCAAATCCTTCCTGTAACCTGCCTCATCCACTGACCCCATTTCCCCAGAACCCCTTAAACCATCCCTAAAACCTGCCTTACTCCCTGAACCCACTCCCTCAGAAACCCCCAAATCCTTCCTGTAACCTGCCTCATCCACTGACCCCATTTCCCCAGAACCCCTTAAACCACCCCTAAAACCTGCCTTACTCCCTGAACCCATTCCCTCAGAAACCCCCAAATCTTTCCTAGAGCCTGCCTCATCAATTAACCGCATTTTCCCAGAACCCCTTAAACCACCCCTGTAACCTGCCTTGCTCCCTGAATCCATTCCCTCAGGAGCTCCCAAATTTTTCCTATAACCTGCCTCATCCATTGACCTCATTTCTCCAGAACCCCTTAAGCCATCGCTATAACCTGCCTTGCTCCCTGTGCCCATTCCCTCAGGAGCCCCCACATCCTCCCTATAACCCGACCCCATTTCCCCATAACCTCCAATCCCATTCCTATGACCTGGTTCATCCACTGACCCCATCTCCCCAGGACCCCTTAAACCACACCTATAATCTGCACCCATTCCCTCAGGAACCCCCAAATCTTTCCTATAATCTGCTTCATCCATTGGCCCCATTTCCCTGGAACCCTTTAAACCACCCCTATAATCTGCCTTGCTCCCTGAACTTATTCCTTCAGGAGCCCCTAAATCTTTCCTATAATCTGCTTCATCCATTGACCCCATTGCCCCAGAACCCCCTACACCATCCCTATAAGCAGCCTTGCTCCCCGAACCCATATTCTCAGGAGTCCCCAAATCTCCCCTGTAACCTTCCTTATCCACTGACCCCATTTCCCCCGAACTCCCAATACCCTTCCTACAACCCAGCCCATCTGCTGATCCCATTCCTTGGAGGTCCCCTGAACTCTCTCTAAAGGCTGCCTCACCCCCTGGTCCTGTACTCCTAGGCCCAAGGCCCCTTGACCCTCCTCCATAGGCTGTTCTGACCCCAGTTCCCTGAGGCCCTGGAAGTTCTGATCCATCCTCATAACCCAGCACATTGCCAGCCCCATAAGCCCACTGGCTCTCAGAAGCAGCCCCAGTGTGAGGTGCAAGTGCCTCAGGGTGCCTGGTATCATTCCTGTAACCAGCTCCAGCTCCAGAGGCCCTAGCACCAGGGCATCTTGTCCCATTCCCCTCACCCACTTTGCTCCCTGCCCTCAGAGACCCTGGTTCCATGGCTTCTGGACCCCCAGAGCCATCTTCATAGCCTCCTTCTCCAAAGGCCTCCAGGGCCTCTGAGGCTCTGAAGCCAGTCTGACTCCAAGGCCTTATTCTTCCAGAGCTCTCTGGTTCTGCTTCCACACATCCCATACCAACAGTCTCCACTACTCCAGGGGCCTTGAGACCACCTCTATCCACAGACCCCGTCATCTCACTCCCTAGGCCGCCATCTGAATGGTGCCCTCTCCTAGGGCCCATGCCGCCCTGGCGTGCAGAGGCCCAATTCCTGATGTCATCCACGGGTGCTCCATCAGGACCACCTGAGCCGTTCTTAAGACTGGCAACTCTCCCAGACCCTCCTCCTGCAGGGCCAGAATCTTCGTTTCCTGACCACACTCCCCCAGGTACCCCAGAGCCATTCCTGTACGCACCCCCTTCCTCAGACTCCATTCCCGCAGGTGCCCTAGGGGAAACTCTACAACCAGCACCATGGCCAGACCCCATTTCTCCTGGAACCCCTGAGCCATAGCTGTAACCAGCCCCGCTTTCAGGGCCTATTCCCCTAGAATATCCTAAGCCGCCCTCGTACCTAGATTCCATTCTCCCAGGACCTTCCAAGTCATCCTTATAGCCTCTGGGTCCTTTTACTCTGGAGCTCCCTGACCCATCCCAGAAATCTGGTTCAGACCCTATTGACCCAGGACCTCTTAATCCTTCCGTATCTCCTAGTATCCCCCCAGATCCCTGAGCACCCAGGCCTGGAGACCTACTTAGCCCACGGCTTCTGGCATCCACCCCCTGACCAGACTCTGTCAGTCCAGCCACCTGGGTACCACCCCTACCCTCTTGCCCTCCACTGGGTCCCAGCACTCCAGGCCCATAGTGGGCTCCAGTTTTTCTGAGGCCAGATGGTGTGTCATCCCAAGGACTTGTGCCCTTAGATTCTATTCTGCCAACACCCCCTGCTGCTCTGTGACCTGCTGTCCACTCCTGGGAAGACTGGAAGCTTCTGGGGTCATCCCCTATCTCACCTGAGGCCCAAGCTGTTTCCCGGCCATCCCTTCCCCTGAGTTCCTGTAGGCCACCTTCGCAGCCACTGGGGTCTCCTGGGCCTCCAGGGCCAGTTTTGTAGACACTTCCTCCAACTACAGATTCCCCCCTGCACAGACCATCTGCCTCTTGCAGTGAGTCTTCAGCTTTGATCTCAGGACTCCCATCTCCCAGAAGGAATTTTCTACCACCTGATATTGATGGTTCCTGGAAATCCTTGCCTCCAAGTGTCTGTCCTAGAAACTCTCCTGACCCCCGGTAGCCCCAGGCTTCCCCATAGTCAGTATCTCTACCTCCCTGAGAATCCCAGGATTCAGGGCCCATACCTGCCTTGGAGCCAGAACCTCTTCCTCCAGTAAACTCCAGGGTGCCAGGACCTCCCGCCCCATTGCTGTCTCCAGCTTCTCCCAGGCCAGTCCCACTACCCCACACTACTACTCCTCTCCTTCTTTCCCTACTTGGAGCATCCCCTCTGTCCATCTCAGCCAAGCTATCACCCTGTGAAATCTTTATCTGCTTTCCTCTTGGCCAGGACCCTACAGGATCAGACTGGTAGCCTTGCATGTCACTCTTTCCTCTCCCAGGTCTCAGTTGAGCATCCCACAGTTGCTCCGGGGCGTGCCTATCCAGTTGTCTTCCACTATCCCCTCTGTGCTCCTTTCCTTCCCTGCTGCTCCCCAGTCCTCCAGCCTGAAGCGGACTGGACCCAGCCTCCCAGCCTCCTGCTGTCCTCCAGCATTCATCACCGTTGCTGTCTCTGCCACGATCTTGCTGTCGTTTTTCTGGGAGGCCCAACCCTGATTCTGAGCTCTCTCCCTGTAGATAGGGCCTCTCTGCAAGGCTTTCAGCCCAGCCTCCCTCTCTGCCAGATTGACTTTCCCTGGGAAGAGTGACTCTGCTTCCCTCTGCTTCTAGAAAGCCTTCACCTTCCTGTCCAGGGCCCCAGGCTGAGTCAGCTGCCCCCTTGTCCTCCATCAAGGAGTAGCCATGTCTGCCAAGGCCATCCCTGTCTGGGCTGGCTATGTGCTGCAACCCAGAAGCCATCCCTGCCCCCTCAAGGGATCCCCCACTGGGGTCCTGCTCTCTGAATTTCTCTCCCTGGCTGTTGATGCTCCCAGACTCTTCTGCTCCTGAGGCCTGGGCTCCTTGCCTCTGTAGTTGGTGGTCAGCACTAGTGGACTGAAGGTCTTTATCCTTCCCAGCTTCGGTGAGTGTTTATTCATATGGAAGATCAGTGCCCACATGGAGAGACAAGAGAAAGTACCAAAACTCCTGTTAAATCCGGCCAAAGCACCTGCCTGAGCCCAACTACTTGCCTGACCTAGGCTTCCCCAGGACAGAAGCAAGCTGACCACCTGGCAAGGCAGCCAGAGCGTTCCAGGGATGGATGGGTGAATCCCATCACCACCTCCCCCAGTCCCATACCCACAGGCCACCCTGCTACAGGCTTCATGAGGATTTTGGAGAAAATGCATAAGCCAAAAGTCATTTGTTTATCAAACTGCCGCAGCAGGTGCATGGTTTTTAAAATATTAACTTACTCTATCACCTGCCTTACTTGTGTCTAATTTACACTTTCCTGGGAACATCTTGAACCCAAATTTCAATTCCCAGGGAGGTTTGAGAGTGCGCTCTGGTCTGGTGCAGGGGCTTCTCATCCAGACTGAACCTGGGCCACTGTCCCAAGGCTGCCTAGGACCCTAGAGCCATCTGTGCCCCAGAGTAATTCCAAGAGACCCAGTGGAGCAGACACAGCTGAGAAGGGTTGGGTTGGCCATGAAGGTCTGCACAGCAATGGGTGGAGAATAAGCTAAGGAGCCTTCCTTATTGTCTCTGAGCAAGGGAATCGTTCCAGAGCAAATGGCTGACCAAAGGAAATCCCACTGCCTCGCCTTCCTCATGCCTCTGCAGCCCCGAGGTCTTCCCTGGAGGCAGAGAAAGACAGAGATGTGAAGCACTCACCTTCAACCACCAGCCAGGCGCTGGAAGTGTAGAGCCCAGTGCCCAGCGAGTAGGGGCCCATGTCTGAGAAACGGGCGCCCCTCACCACCAGCCGGTGGGTCAGCCCGTCGGGGGACACAAACACTTCATATTTGTCACTGGGGTGGAGTAGCCGGTGCCGGAAATGCCAGGCTGCACTAGGGCAGGGGCTGGAGAAGGTACATTCGAAGACTGCGTCACCGTGCTCCTCACAGTGGGTCTCCACCAGTGGGACCACCACTCTTGGGGGTATGGCTGCCAGGGAAGCAAGAATGGGGATATCAGCTTGATGGTATGACACAGTGTGACCTGAGGCGGCAAGGCTGGCCGTTCAGAAATCCTGGCTTAGACCAGCTCAGCCACAAACTCCCTGTGTTACCTGGGATAGGTCTCCTCTGGACCTTAAGTATCAATTCTCCCTACATAAAATGAGGGGTTAGAATTATGAGCAATGAGGCTTATTTTCAGCTCTAGGATTCCATACTTCTAAACCCAAAAGTTACATTTGGGGACAAGGTGGATGCATGAAGGAAACCACTATGCTAAGAGCCAGTACTTTATCTTATTCATCCTTTATCTTATTCATCCAAGTAATAATTGCTTACCCCCAGGTAAGTATTATTAATTTCTTCTTACAGGTGAGAAAACTGAGGCTTAAAAAGTTAAATAACTTGCTCCAGTCTTATGCAGTTAAGAGAAACCAAGATTCACACCAGGGTCTGGCTGACTCCCAAACCCGCACTCCTTTTCCCAAGCCTGCACTGTTTTCAGGCTTCTCAAAGCCCCATCTGGGCACCTCCCCGCTGCTGGGACACATAACCCCCTTTTCTCTCCCCCAACCTTGATTTAGCCATGTTCTTAGGACATGCTCCCTTCCCCAGGCCTCTCCTTGTCCTTTCAAGAAACCCCTTGAGCTGGCAGGTTGCTCTGAGAGTGATGTGGACACAGGTACTCATGGGGATGGCACAGAGTTTGATGAAGGAGGAGTGGCAGTTCCTATATAGGGAAGGAATACAGGAAGCAGAAAAGGAAAGGTCTGTATGGAGCGCGAGGATGCCTAACCCAGAGATTCTTGCTAGGGCTTTGTGGGAGATGAGGACATGCAACAGAAAGGAGTTCTAGAGGCTGTGCAATTAGTCTGGATCTGATCTGAAAATAATCGGTGTCTGCAGAAGGTCTGAGCAGAGGCATGACACATATGTTCTATGTCTGTGACGGTAATTCAGTAGAACCCAGCTCAGCACCAGGAGAGATAACTTGCACCAAGGCTTTGGAAAACAGAAAGCATCAAAATTTGGCCATCTAGGTATGTCCCAATTGTCTTTGCAGCTGGGGCCACGTCACATTTACCCCCCGACACACACATTGCACCAACATGGACTCCACTTCTCACAGATCTCCCCGACTCCAACTTCGGCAGTGTAGACCACTCACCACTGGCCTCCAGTTCTGTGGAGAAGACCACAGCATCCTCCACCTTGACCTGGTAAATGCCAGAGTCCTCAGGCCTCAGGTCTTGGATCTGGAACTCATAGCGCTTTCCCAGCCGGCGCAGACAGTGCTTGGTCTGGTTGTTGAAGCCATAGGGGATCATCTCACCATCCTAAGGCCAGAAAAGGAAGAGGAGGTGGGCCTCAGCGGGTCCTCAGTGCTTCCTGCCCCAGTCCCATTCTGGCTATAACCAGCAGTTTTCTCCCACAGGCCCAGTCACCAGACAACAGATTCCTGGAACCACAGAGGAGCTGGGATGGGGTGGACAGCAGGGCCTGGAGGACATGGGAACAGGGATTGTGAGCTGGATGGGAATCCATGCTCTAGGAATGTCCACGGAGTGAAAAGTCTGCAAGTGTTATACAAAGGGGCACCTGAAGTTGCTGACATTCCAGCTCAGGCTGTGAGTAGAGTTACTCCCCAGCAGCCCTGCGAGGATAGCAGGGGAGGCTGGACATGACACCAATGGCCCACGGGCCCCAGCTCAACTTATTCACCAATAGGAACTTGCAGAGAATACCATCAGATATCCATAAGGCTCTACAAACCCAGTAATCTATATGCTTACCTACTTTAAGCCCTAGATAGGTTTGCTACTTGCTGAATATTAACAACAGCTAATACTTATTAGGGGCCCACTGTGTGCCAGGCACTGTTTTAGGTACTTAAGACACATCAATGCCTAAAAAAAGATTCCTGCTCTCACTAGCTAAAATCCTATGGGGGAAAAATATAAATAATAAATGTCATAAATAAGTAAACAATTTATGTTAGAAAGAAATAGAACTGGCCGGGCATGATGGCTCATGCATGGAATCCCAGCACTTTGGGAGGCTGAGGCGGGTGAATCACTTGAGGTCAGGAGTTCAAGACCAGCCTGGAAAACATGGTGAAACCCCATCTGTACTGAAAATATGAAAAATTAGCTGGGTGTGGTGGCAAACACCTGTAATCCCAGCTACTCGGTAGTCCGAGGCAGGAGAATTGATTGAACCTGGGAGGGAGAGGTTTCAGTGAGCTGAGATTGCACCACTGCACTCCAGCCTGGGCAACAGAGTAAGACCCTGTAGAAGGAAAGAAAGAGAGAGAAAGAGAGGGAAGAAAGAAAGAAAGAAAGAAAGAAAGAAAGAAAGGAAGAAAGAAAGAAAGAAAGAAAGAAAGAAAGAAAGAAAGAAAGAAAGAAAGAAAGAAAGAAGGAAAGAAAGAAAGAGAGAGAGAGAGAGAGAGAGAGAGGGAGGGAGGGAGGGAGGGAGGGAGGGAAAGAAAGAAAGGAAGGGAAAGAAACAAAAAGAAAGAAAGAAAAAGAAAAGGAAGCAAGGAAGGAAAGAAGGAAGAGAAAGAGAGAAAAGGAAAAAAGGAAAGAAGGAAGAGAGAAAGAGAAATAAAGAGAAGAGAGAACCAGGGAACAAAAAGGTAGATATGGGTCCAGGGCTCCTGAGTGCTAGGACGGGGCTGGAGGGACATAGTGGAATCACACAGAGTGGCCAAGGGGAGTCTCTCTGCCATGAAGGAATGAGCCCTGTTGATATCAGGGATGAGCATGCCAAGCAGAGGGAACAGCTGGGGCAAAGGAACAGGGATGAGGCCAGTGGGGCAGGAACAGAGGGACAAGGGGAAGAGAAGCAGGAATGAGCAGAGAGGTGAGGGGAGGGGCAAGTCACACATGATGTCATTTAGCACTGCAGTACACCGTGAGGCAGGTCCTGTATTATCCCCAGTTCACAAGTGAGGAAACTGAGGCACGGGGAAGATAAGTATCTTGTCTGAGGTCACACAGCTTATAAGTGATAAAGCTGGATGAGTCTGGCTACAGAACTAGCCAAATTTTACCAGCTCCTCCCCACCTGCTGCTGCCCCTATCTGGTTGGCAGGTAACTACTCCTAGAGCCCAGGTAGGGATGTATGAAGTCTCTGGAAAGAAAGCTCAGATGGAAAGGGGTGCACTTTCTCAGAACCCTCTTTTCACCCCCATGCTCTGGTGTTAGACACAATTTACAGAGAGTCACAGGCCCAGCTGGAGAGACTGGTTGCTCAGTGTGAGATAAGAAGTCCTTGTGGATGGATGGTCTACACCAGGGTTTGGCCCAACTCCAACCAGGAACTCCACACAGGGGCTCACCACTTGTGTGCTCTGGTTGTTCCCATGGAGGAACCCAGGGTACCTACAGTTCCCTCCCCACTAGACCTGCAGCATCCCTGCCAGATCCCCCCACCCATAGCCCCTCCAGCCTCACCTTATACAGGTAAATCTTGCTCTGAGAATCCTTGAGATCCAGCTCCAGGTCAAACTTTGCAATCCCATCCTTGGTGACCCTGATGTGTCTTAAGCTGGAGATGGCATTGATGTACTACAAAACAGACAAACCCACCAGGAGAGTTCATGAAGCTCTCTCTTTGGGGCACTCCAAACCCTCATAGGCCCTGGTACCATCCCAGGCCCACAGCATCCCAGATGAGCATGCATTGGCCCCTTTTACAAGTGGGGAAAAGTAAGCCCCTCAAGGAAGGAAATTCTCCAAGATGAGAGATCAGATCAAGAAGACAACCAAGAAAAGACCCCAGGTGCCCAGGTGCTAGAACACAGTAGGGCTTTTCCATTCATCTGTACTTCTAACAAACATTAGTTGAACACCTACTGTGTGCAAAGCTCTGTGCTGGGTCCTGTGTCAAAGCCAATGAGAAAGCTTTGAGGAGAGAAGGCTGAGACCCTAGGTGTTAGGTTTAAGAAAACTTATCCTTCAAGGGGATAAGATACTATTTTCAGGATAATGAAAACGAGTTGTTTTCTATTTTCAGAAGAAAAATTAGACTTATGTTATAGTTAAGTTAGACACAGGGAAGAAATTCCTGTACAGCTGATAAGATTCTGGGATCAGAGTGCTAATGGGAACTGTAAAATTCCCTTCCATGAAAGCCTTTAGAAATAAACCAGGTAGCTGGGCGTGGTGGCTCACGCCTGTAATCCCAGCACTTTGTGAGGCCGAGGCAGGCAGATCACGAGTTCAGGAGATTGAGACCATCCTGGCTAACACGGTGAAAACCCATCTCTACTAAAAATACAAAAAGTTAGCCGGGCGTGGTGGCAGGCGCCTGTAGTCCCAGCTACTCAGAAGGCTGAGGCAGGAGAATGGCGTGAACCCAGGAGGCGGAGCTTGCAGTGAGCCAAGATTGTGCTACTGCACTCCAGCCTGGGCAACAGAGTGAGACTCCATCTCAAAAAAAAAAAAAAAAAAAAAAAAAGGAGAAATAAACCAATGAGGTACCGCCCCCCCCAATCTGGTGACAATGATAATGATAGCAAAAATCAAGCCCTTACCATGTATCAGGCACTAAGCTAAGTACTTTAAGTACATTCTCTCATTATCCTCCCAATAACCCTGCGAGGTAGGCATGACTATAATTCCCATTTTACAGATGAAGAATCCAAGACACAGAGGCCCTAACTCTTCCAAAGCTCCAGAGTTTAGTAAGTATCAGAACCAGGTTGCAAAGGCAGGACACCAACCTGGGATCCCAAGGCCTTAGCCAGATACCCCACTGGGGACTAGATGGAGACAGGCCCCTCAATCATACTTGGTTTCCTAAGTTCTGCCTCCAAGCCCACCTCCAGGTGTGAGGCACCTATGGTCCAGATGTGTGGGGTGGGCATGGAGTGAGGGGTGGGCATGGGGTGAGGCACCTGTGGTTCAGGTGTGTGGGGTGGGCATGGAGTGAGGGGTGGCCATGGAGTGAGGCACCTGTGCCATCTTGTCCTCCTGCTCCTTCTTCATCTCCTGTAGCTTGCGCAGCATGCCACGGTAGTCAACAATGCCGTACTTCATGCAGATCTGTTCGTAGTCCTTCCTGTCTGCTGTCATCAGCAGCTGCCATACCTGCTCAAGGTCTATCTTTTTCTCAGGGGCTGGTGGGACCCTGGGGAGCAAGGCCAGCCGGTCAGAGGCCAGAGGAACCCCTGCTCCTTTGTTGGCCACCTGGCTCTGGTGCCCCAAGTAGTTCTAGGAAGCTGCTCTATCTGCACTCAAGGAAATACAGATCCTGGAATCTCTGGGACTGACCACTTTTGGGGCCAGAAGGATTTAGAGATGGGTGGGGCGAGCCTCAGCCTCACCCCACAACTTTCAGGAGAAATGCTCCTAACAACCTGTATTGTAGATTTCTGAGTAAGATGTCTGGGGAAAGTGGGTGTTGCATTGTTCTGTTGCTTTAAAAAAAAAAGTTACATCATTGTTCCAGTGGACCACCACATTTTGCAAATGAGGAAATCAGAGGAGAGATGATTAACTCAAGGATATAGAGCTTTGAAATGGCAGAGCTAGATCCAGAATTCCCAGTTCAGTCCCCTTCCCATCCTCCCATCTGCTACAGTCAGTCTAGCTCCCTGCTGTGTTGGGTGGAGGTGTGGCCCAAGCTTACTTATGGAAATAGTAGGGAGTGAATACTATGGGAGCCTCCAAAATCCCTCATGGACAGGCCCAAACCCACCTCTTTTTCAGCAACTTCCGGAAGTCCATCAGCTCCTTCCTGAGGTCTGGAAAAGGAGTAGGAATGAGGCCTCAGTCCCAGGTGGGATGCCTGAGGGTTGATGCAGGGCTTTTCTGTGTGCCCATGCTGACAACCAAGCCTTTGGAAGGGGCTCTCCTGAAGACTGGTGGTGACCCACAAGGTATGCATGGTGGCTCAACCAGGCAGGGAACACCAGGAAAGGAGTAGTCTATCCCCCACAGGCCCCAAAGAGATTTCTGACAAATCTACCTACCTTCCTGTGGTTCCTTGTGCCTCTTCCGATTCTTCCGAAAGCCAACTGGATCATCCAGGGAGGAGAGGAAGGAGTCGATATGGACAAGCAGGGAGGGAAGTAAGACACATTGACGGTCTTCCTGAGAAACTGATGGAGTCCCAGAGCCCTGCTCTCCCCACTGTCCTCTAAGGCGTGGATGATCCCAGCAAGAGGGATGGAGCAGAATGGAGGGTCTGCCCATCATAAGCTTTTTTACCCCAGAGCCTTACCCATGACCAAGGGGACCAACCTAAGCATCATCTCATGCAGGGGAGACCCAGTCATGTGTCCACAGGAGCCAGGGAGGTGGCAGAAATGCGTGAAGCAGACATTGGCAACCACAACAAACTCAAGAGTATCTAAAGGGGCAGCTGCTCTTTCACTCCACGTGGGAGCTGCCATATCAGGGTATAGGCCCAATATTGCCAAATAGGTCAGACACTGCTGTTTGGCTAATCCTGCAGCCATTTGTAATCCTCATCATCTGCTTCCACTAAAGAGGCTGAAAAAGCTAAACACTCACCTTCCCAGCTTCCCTTGCAACTAGCAGTGCTCATGTGACACCATCCTGACCAATGAGCTCCCGGAATTTCTGAGAAAGCCTTTGCTTCCTTTATAAAAAAGGTGGATGGGCTGGTCATGGTGTTTCACGCCTATAATCCCAGCACTTTGGGAGGCCAAAGTGGGAGGATAGCTTGAGCCCAAGAGTTCCAGACTAGCCTGGGCAACATAGGGAGACCCCACCTCTACAAAAAAAAAAAAAAATCAAAAAATTAGCTGGGTGTGATGGCGCATGCATGTAGTCCCAGTTACTTGGGAGGCTGAGGTGGGAGGATCACTTGGGTCTGGGAGGTCAAGGCTACAGTGAGCCATAATCACACCACTGCACTCCAGCCTGGGCAACAGGTCTCGAAAAATAAAAAATAAAAGGCCAGGCGCAGTGGCTCATGCCTATAATCCCAGCACTTTGGCAGGCTGAGGCGGGTGGGTCACCTGAGGTCAGGAGCTTGAGAACAGCCTGGCCAATATGGTGAAACCCTGTTTCAACTAAAAATACAAAAATTAGCCAGGCGTGGTGGCACTCACCTGTAATCCTAGCTACTCAGGGGGCTGAGACTGGAGAGTGGCTTGAACCTGGGAGGCAGAGGTTGCAGTAAGCCAAGATTGTGCCACTGTACTCCAGCCTGTGTGATGGAGCAAGACTCCGTCTCAAAAATATAAAAATAAAAATAAGAGAGGCAGGTGGACCTGGGCCACCTCTTCCACCTTCCTACCTTGAACGTGGATTAGGTTTGGATCTGCCATAGCCCTCTTATGGCCATGAGGTGATAAGCCAATCTGCTAAGGATGGCAGAGCAGTGGGACCAAAGGAATCAGCTATCTGATGGCAGCCCTGAGCCCTGGACACCACTCGCAAAACTTCTTATGTGAAGGAATGAAATATCTTTATTTCTTAGGCTACTCTTAGTAGGATTTTCTGTTACTTGTAGACAGACCAATTGTAAGCATAATCAGTGGTGAGACTAGACCTGCTTCCTCAAGAGATATCTACCTTTCAATTACTACAGGTTGACAATTTTTAAAATTTCAAACACCATGCATGCCCAAATACACGTCTGAGGGAGAATTTGGCCTTTGTGTGACCTGTTTGTTAACTCTGGCATAGGCCTGTCCAAAATATCCAAATATCCTTTGCACGGTGGAGAAACTGAGACCCAGAGAAGAAAATAAAGCCCATTCAATGAGTTAGCAGAAGCTCTAGGACTAGAAGCCAGCTTTCAGGTCCTGCTCATTTACTGGGCCAAGAGAATATCCTTCAGAGCATCTGCCAAGGTGTGCCTTTTTAAACACATGCAGACTTCAGTGTGCATGTGGTTGAAGCCAGGGACCCAGCACAAGGTGGGGCTGCAGCAGCGGTGGCAGTCTCAGTGGGGCTCCCTCCCCTCTGCTCCCCTCCCTCACTAGCCACGGGGCCTCTGATTCCTCTGTGGGCTCTCTGCCCTGTGCACTGATGAGACAAGCTCAGGGAAAAGCCCACCTTCAATGACGGTGAGTCTCGCTGAGCACGTGGCCTCTCCGTACATATTTACTGCTGTGCAGCGGTACAGATCCGTGTCCTCACCTGTCAGCTTGTTGATCTGCAGAAAGGCCAAGGGCAGAGGAGCAGGGCTACCATGTCCGCTTCCTCCATTTACTAGACACGGCTATGTGTTGGGGGTATAAAGTGATTAAGACATGGTCCTAGTCCTTATGGAGCTCACAGTCTTTATCAGGAAAGACAGATCCCAAAACAAAAACCTGGTTCGGGACAGAGGGTGGATGTACCAATGCTTTGCCATCAGAGGCAATGTAGCATAGTAGAAAGAGTGTGATTTTGGGGTCAGATGGATCTGGGCCTGAAAACAGTCTCTGTCCTGTATTACTGGCTGTGGGACCTTGAGCAAGTTATCTAACTTCTCTCAACTCCAGTTTCTTCATTTGTAAGATGGGAATATAATTCCTCAAAAAAGTGTTGAATTATTAGAATTAAATATATAATCTATGTCAAATGTTTAGCCCCTGGGACATAGTAGGGCCTGGCACATAGTAGGTATCCCATGGTTGGTATTTATAGTATTGCTCAGATTAGCCAAGATTGATTGAGTACTCACTATAGGCCAGGCACTAGCTAGATACTTTACATAAAACTTTCACCCTCATAGCAGCCCCTGGCCAGGCACAGTGGCTCATTCTGTAATCCCAGCACTTTGGGAGGCCGAGGCAGACGGATCACCATTGGTCAGGAGTTCAAGGCTAGCCTGGCCAATATGGTGAAACCCCATCTTTACTAAAAATATGAAAATCAGCTGGGCGTGAAGGTGCATGCCTGTAATCCCAGCTACTTGGGAGGCTGAAGCAGGAGAATCGCTTGAACCTGGGAGGCGGAGGTTGCAGTGAGCCGAGATCATGCCATTGCACTCCAGCCTGGGCAACAGAGCGAGATCTGTCTCAACAACAACAGCAACTCATAACAACTCCTTAAAGCAGGTCCTGTTATTAACCCATTTTTACAAATGAGGAGACAGAGATAGAAAGAGTAAAGTGACTTTCCAAAGCCAAGGTGGTGGGCCTGGGATTGTAACCCCAGCAGTTTGACTTCAGAGCTTGAGCTCTTAAGCTCCAATCTACACCACCTTCCTGGTTATCAGCAGAGGTATCTGCAAGCCTGCCAGATCCGTTCTTGGCTCAGTCAACTTTAAGTCACGAGATGGAGTTGAATGGATTCAACTTCAACAAGGAGTATGTCTTACTCCTCTAGGGACTGGAGGCTGCCAAAGAGATCTTCAAGGGGATGGGAAAAGATGAATAGACCTTGGTCGGGGGAAGAGCTATGGTTATTACCTGCAGCATGTGCTCCTTGCCGCCAGGGCTGGAGGAGATCTTGTACTTGCTGGAGTCACTGAGGTCACCTTTGGAGTTCTGCCATTGCACCTCGGGCCTGGGCTCCCCACAGACCACAGCCCGAAAGATAGCATTTTTCCCTGCAGCAGGAAGAGATAAGCAGGAAGACTGACAAGTTGGGAGAAGGTGACTGTATACTTTATTTAAATTCTAATTTACATCATCTTCCTCATCTAGGTATTTCAACAGCCCCTTCCAAAAAGGGTGCCAGGCCTGGGTCCCCTTGACTCAGGACTCAGAACACGCAGGTGGAAAGCAGCAGATTCCAGGCACCCAGAGGGCAGTCCTTCCTCTTTCTGTATTGCGGAAGCTTGGGCTGCTTGAGGGAAAGAGATAGGTGGACTGGCCCTGGTGAAAGGGGAGGCCAGCAGGGCTTTAGGGGAGAGGGGCTTTTCTTGAGAGTGGGTAAGCAAGGAGTCTGAAGGCTCTGCCAAGACTGGGAAGGGAGTGAGATTTTGTGAGTTCCAGCCGGGCGCAGGGGCTTACGCCTGTAATCCCAGCACTTTGGGAGGCCAAGGTGGGCGGATCGCCTGAAGTCAGGAGTTCGAGAGCAGTCTGGCCAACATGGTGAAACCCCATCTCTACTAAAAATACAAAAAGTAGCCAGGCGTGGTGGTGCGTGCCTGTAATCCCAGCTACTTGGGAGGCTGAGGCAGGAAAATTGCTTGAACCCTGGAAGCAGAGGTTGTAGTGAGTGGAGATCACGCCACTGCACTCCAACCTAGGTGACAGAGTGAGACACCATCTCAAAAAAAAGAGAGATTTTTTGTGGGTTCCCTTCCCCTTCCTACTCTCTAGAGGGAGGAGGAATCACAACCACGGGAAGGAATGGCTATTTGGTGCCCAAAGGAGCTGGTGCTGAGACATAGGTTCCAACCTCAGAAAAGACCCCAAGCTCCATGCCTGGCATGGAGGCCTGGGAACTACCTGCCCTCAAAGAATCCCTCAGCCTCCCACCAGGAACATCTTAGTAGAGAGCAACATAGACCAAAGGCCCAAGGGCCCGTCCCAATTTCGCATTACCTTGTTCCAGATTTAGAAAAATAAGATACCATTCTTTGGCCAGGTGCGGTGGCTCATGCCTGTAATCCCAGCACTTTGGGAGGCCAAGGCAGGCGGATCACCTGAGGTTGGGAGTTCGCAATCAGCCTGACCAACATGGAGAAACCCTGTCTCTACTAAAAGTACCAAAAAATTAGTCAGGCATGGTGGCCCATTCCTATAATCCCAGCTACTTGGGAGGCCAAGGCAGGAGAATCACTTAAACCCAGGAGGCGGAGGTTGCAGTGAGCTGAGATCGAGCTATTGCACTCCAGCCTGGGCAACAAGAACAAAACTCCATCTCAAATAATAATAATAATAATAATAATAATAATAATAATAGAAAAAAGAAAAATAAAATACCATTCTTTTTCTTATTACGAGGATGCTATGAACTAAAATTTATTGCAGGGATGTGTGTTGGGGAAAGAACACCAATTTCCACTTTTTCCCCAATAAGCCTTTGTTCCCACCACTTTTCTGGGCACTTTCTTATGTGGCCTTCTAGAAGGGCCTTCCTGAGCCCAGCCTGTGAGCCACTGCGGGTGCTGCTGCCTGGAAGCGAGGATTGGGAGGAATCACCTTAACTGTATTAACAGTGCCTATCTGCAGCAGTGGCTTTGAGGAGAGGAGAGAGGGACCAGAAAACACCACAACCTCTGCCTCCTCCCCAGTTTAGCATTTTTCCATCCTTGCCCCCCAGATATTTCTCACACTGGAATAGCATGTTGTCTCTTCATTCTCTTTATCCACTCTTTTCCCCAGGTCCCTTGTCACTTCTAGGGTTCCAGGTAAGCACGTACCCCCTTAAGGATAGGAGGGAGCCAGGCTATGGTCTGGTGATGGATGTAGGGCCTGGGTGTCCAGGAAGGTGTGTGCCCTAGCCCTCTCCCCTGGGAGGTAGGACAGCAAGAATCTTGCTTCCCCTCCATAGCTCCCCTCTGGGCTCTCACCCTCTGGCAGAGCCAAGGTGACGGGCTTCTGCTCAAAGTCCGGCGTGCTGCAGCCTTCAGGGATCTCTTCCACCAGCTGCCAGATGCTCACCCCAGGGATATGGGACTTCCGGAACTTTCCTGGAGAATGCAGGAGAGAGGGAGGTGGGCCTTCCGCCTTCTCGCTATTGGGTGACCCTTCAACAGAATGGGCATCCATCCACTCGCCCAAGGAGCAAGAAGCCCCTTCTCGCTCCTACTGTTGGGGCAGGATTTTTGTCCTACCTCCCGCCTGTGCACAGTGCTTTTTAATTCTCTAATGGGAATCTGGTGGCACCTCTCAGGCAATGTGAATGGAGCCTCTAGGAAGTGGGTGGGGCACCCTGGGAAGACCCTGAGTGTGTCACTGGAGAAAAGCTTGGAAGAGAGAGTGGGAAAGGGCTCCTTTTCAGGAAGCGGGAGCTCATGTGGGGGCTCTGCACCCCTTATTCAGGAAAACAAATTGAAATCCAAAGCCAAGACTCTTAAAAAAAAAAAAAAAAAGGCCCAGCACAATGGCTCATGCCTGTAATCCCAGCACTTTGGGAGGCCAAGGCGGGCAGATTGCCTGAGATCAGGTGTTTGAGACCAGCCTGGCCAACATGGTGAAACCCCATCTCTACTAAAAATACAAAAATTAGCCAGGCATGGTGGCACATGCTTATAATCCCAGCTACTCGGGAGACTGAGGCAGGAGAATCACTTGAACCCAGGAGGCAGAGGTTCCAGTGAGCCAAGATTGTGCCACTGCACTCCAGCTTGGGCAACAGAGTGAGGCTCTGTCTCAAAATCAACAGCAACAACAACAACAACAAACAAGATGGGCACATTCCCAGAAATCTCTGATCCCTACCACTTCTCTCCTCTCTGTCCTGGTAAGGATTGCCAGGGAGGGTTGGGGAGGGGAGGTTTGTTCTCTTACCTGCCATAGTTCTGCCTCCTCTTTGACTCCTCTCAGGGTAGAAGTTCTATTTTCCTGAGAACAGAAATGGAATTGCTTTTAAGAGATCCAGCCTGGTCTCACCCCACCCCTCCCACACCATCAGTGCATAAGCCAATGTCTGGGGTGGGAGCTGGAAAAAGCTGCTGCCCCCAAGAGCTTTTCTAACCCACTAATGGCACTGATTGGTTTCCTGCAATTCCCTGTCCCCTGCAAAACCAATTTCCCAGAGACCAGGGAGTGGGTAGGATGCCACCCAGTTGGTAACATTCCCAGGTAAAGGGGACCATAGGCTGAGCCTGCACACTGTGCTGGTGGCCTGGCCTCCTGGTGGGACCCCAGGCTTGATGACCCTGCCCAGAGGGTGAGACACAACCTTCCCAAACCTGAGGAAATCAGACCCATTCAGGATCCTTCCAGCTGTGTAACAGCTTGCCCCATTGACTTTGGAATGAGAATTCTCCAAGGACATTCTTTGGGACTCCTGGCTCCTTCCCCAACTCTGAAATTTTCTGGCAGGACCCCAAAGTCCTCTACCTCCCACGTTCATAGAATCCTTCCGGTCACAAGGTCTGCAGGGGAGAGTCCTCAACTTTGCTGCTCTTAAGTTCTTCTTGGCCCAGGCCCATAGGATCCCCATAAATCCATCTGCTCCCCTCTGAAGCCAGTGAATTATAGTGTCAGGTGAACAGGAGTATTTTCCATTCTGTCACCACCACCATCTCTCCCGATTTCCTCTTAATTGCATCCATCTGTTACGGTCAATGGGGAGTCCCACACAGGAGAGGAAGGGGGTTGGCTCTGGGATGGGATGAGAGCCATAAATTGGGATGGGGAGATGTGTTGAAAGAGTTCTCCAGCAGTCCCACCCTCTGTGCGATTGGCCTACGGCCAAGCGGTTCCATTTTGGGGACTCCATTTTCTGCCCAAAAAGCCCTGTCATTAATATAGAATCACACATGACAGAGCGAATTCCTCTCTCCCATGGAGATCGTTCCATTTCGCAATGGCCCACCCACTGGCACTTCTGGTCCCTGGCGGCCCCTCATCTGCCCAGCCGCTGCACCCTAGCGTGCCGGAATGCCATGGTACGCCAACTGCGTTCTGGAGCGGTCACAGGTGCCACAGGCGCTATGCCGAAGGGAGTCACGAGGAAGGGTGGGAGGGAAGGCAGTCACCAACGGATGAGGACCCAGGTGGCCATGGCCAGGGGGAGGGCTGTATGGGCCCCCGTCCCACCCACCCCTCAGTGCAGCCTCCTGGCAAGTGCACTGGCAGCAGTCGGTGACCCCACACTGGAGTAGTCTGAGTTCAACACAGCTATCTGAGTCATCATCCCCATCGTCACACACATCATCACCATGAGCAGCTATCATCCTGTTACTCAGCTATTGGTAACACATGAAGAAGGATAACAATGATACCACTCTTCTCCCTACAGCTCCCAGCTGAGGAGGGCAAAAGAAGCAAAGCCCTTGGGGGATCTTAGGGGTGTGACATTAAGCCATCCACTTCTGGTGCTCCACCATCTTCTAAAATAAGCCAGATTTGGTACAAAGTCAATGACATGGGGGAAGAGATCTGTTGAGTTGGAGACTAGAGGGATGTGGTCTCAGTTGGAAGAAATGAGAAAGGAAGTGAATTCTCTCCTCCGTAATTCATTCCCACATTTAAGAAGTCCAATTATTCCCAAAAGCAAATGTCAGCTTGTGTCCTTACTTCAGCTGTCCCAGCAACACTCTCAGCACTGGATCCGGGGGCAGTGTCTCCCTGGCCCCTCTCCAGGATCTATGGCTCCCCACCCTTTTTCCCTGCCCTCCCTGGATCCATCCTGCAGATCCAGGTCCCTGCTACCTCCAGCTGGTCCCTGCTACCTCTCAACTGGTAGAAATGGAGGCAGGAAGAGCCAAATGGGGTTCTCTCAACTGCTTTGACCATGTTACTAACCAAAATATAACAAGTCCCAGCCTGAGGTCCTTATTCTGGACTGCTAGTGATATTTTTAATCTGGTCATCGTATCACACTCAAAGTCAAGCCGTGTCCAGAAAATTAGAGCCAGGACAGAACCACCTAGACAGGACACACTAAAATTCTCTCTTCCAGATATCCTGGAGTCGCCTAGAGGGGATACAGGTGCACTCCAGCGTGTGAACGGCCAGCCAGGGAATGTTCACCAGGCAGATGTCCTACCCACTGCCTGCCCCTTCTTGCATAGAAAAACTGGACAGCAGGTTAGTGTCTCCATCCGGCCTTATCCTGGCCTGGGTGGGCAGCCAGGTGTGAGTGCCCACTTACCTGGGTGTACAACTGGCCTCCCGCTTCCTGTCTGCTCCCTCTTCCCCGTTTCCAGCTGCTGCTTGCTGGAGGCTCTGGATCGACTGGTAGTAGACAGGCAGGGCTGGAGCAGGTGTCAGTTGCTGCAGGCGCCTCTGCTCTCTCCGCCCCTCCCACTCACCCCGCCTCCTCCTCCTCCTCCAGTCCAGGCTTGGCAGGGTAAGGCCCCCCAGGGCTAACACTCTAGCTCAGAGGAGGTCAGAGATGGAAGGGTCCTGTGACATCAGTCCATCCAACTCCTCGCTTTGCAGAGCTTTAAGCTCTTAACCAGACTGGCTTAGTATAAATTTGCCCCATGATGCCTTTTTAGCAAGGACATTTTCATCATCCAAACCCTTAACTTTTCAGCTAAGCTGGTCCCTTGGGACCTTTGACACCATAAGTCACACAGATACATAAAGCCGCTGCCCTCTTGGGAATCACATCTCAAAGTGGTACCAAAGAGGCAGCAAACTTTGAGAGTGGGAGGAAAGGCAGTCACTAATGGAGTCATAGACACAGAGTCCACCGAGTGACCAGGAAGGAGGAGACCCTGCGAATTGTGTAGTCAGGAGGCCTGCTGGAGAAGGTGAGCTTGCTCAGGAGCTTTTCAAGGAATAGAAGGGGTGACCTGACCAGCAGGGTTGGGGGCTGAAGCTGGCAGGGCAGATGGTTGGCAGATGGATGGCAAGTGGAAATTGGAAATACAAGACTGGTAACAGATTTTCTTAGGGAGAGTGGAGGGTAGGTGAGGCCCAGGAGATAAGGCCACTTGGTGTGCTTTTAAAGAGCCACATTCTGTCTCCTTAAGGACAGAGAACTGCTTTGTTGCCACCCATAAGCAAGGCTGATCCAGGATTCAGGTGAAGTAGAAGGGAAATGGGGTGAATGTCCTCCAGGGGAGGACACTGAATATTTACACGTATTCATTAGCATCTTGCCGATTTCTACAGGCGCTACCTCTGGATGTTCTCCTAGAGGGGACGTGTTTGACCTCTTCTGCGCAAGTGTGTGTATATGTGTCCGTGCATACACACACACATGCATTTGTGTGTCCTCCCTGTGTGTTTCTGAGTGTCAGGGATGGTCTTTCATTTGTTCAACAAATGTGTGTTGAACACCTACCCTGGGTTGAGCCCTGGCTCTGGCACTGTGTTAAGCCCTGGGAATACAAACGTAAGCGAATGAAAGGGCCCTCCCATCATGAAGTTTGCAGTCTAATGGGGCAAGCAGATGTGGGGGCTCTGAAGGAGACAATGGAGAGTGTGAGGGGAAGGCTGGACCTTGGACAGCAAGGGAAAGAGTGGCAGTGAGAGTTGAGTTTGGACAGGTAGGCATTGGGGGCCATTGAAGAGTTTTGATCTCTATTGTAAGGGTTACTAAGGTTTGTTTAAGGTGGAGAGGTGACAGAATCCAATCTGCCTTTTAAAAGAACTCATTCTGGCTGCAGAGATGCAAGGGATTGGAGGAAGGAGGAAGTGAGAAGCAGGAGTCTACGTCCCAGGAGTGCAGTCCCAGGAGAACACCCCAGGGTGTTCTTTCTCATGGTAGAGCCCTGAGCTCCAGGGGCCTCCTGAGCTGCAATGCTGCATCATCCCAGGAGCGGGAAGGAGGAGGCTGTGAAAATGGCTCAGTGCAGAGCCCTTCAGCATTTCAGGTGCCTCTATTGCTCCCGTAGATAGCCCATGTGCTCTTCCCTGAAGTCTGGGGACGGCCTGCAGATCCACGAGTCAAGGTGTGCCCTGCTACCTGGCCTCCGTTTTCCATGTTGTTGTTGTTGTTCTTATTGTTGTTTTCTAAATAGAGATAAGATCTTGCCATGTGGCCCAGGCTGGTCTCAAACTCCTGGGCTCAAATGATCCTCCCGTATCAGCCTCCCAAAGTGCTGGAATGGCAAGTGTGAGCCACTACATCCACCCCATTTTCTGTGTTTTAACAGCAGCCCACATTAGGGGACCCACTCATCTCTGTGCTGTGTCATACTTGGATCCGTATCACTGCAATAAAATGGAAATTTCATGACTCCAAGGAACTGAGATGAGTTACACAGTTTTTACCACTCTCCCCACTTTATCCTCCATCAAATGTAATGTCCAATAATATTTAGCTATGTCTGGATCTCTAGCCACCCATCACCACCACCACCACTTCCCAGGGTATAATCTTATTACACCTCCTGATAGACATTTCCTTTCCTTAGGGAGATAAAGAGATAAGACCTGGCCAGGCGCAATGACTCAGGCCTGTAATCCCACCACTTTGGGAGGATGAGGCGGGTGGATCACAAGGTCAGGAGATTGAGACCATCCTGGCCAACATGGTGAAACCCCGTCTCTACTAAAGATACAAAAATCAACTGGTTGTGGTGGCACACGCCTGTAGTCTTAGCTACTTGGTAGGCTGAGGCAGAAGAATCACTTGAACCCAGGAGGCGGAGGTTGCAGTGAGCCAAGATTGTGTCACTGTATGCCAGCCTGGCGACAGAGCGGGACTCTGTCTCAAAAAAAAAAAAAAAAAAAGACAAGACCTTACCTTCATCGATTAGGTGAATATCCACATCAAAAGAACTCTGGGCAGTGAATTTGTGTGCATTATTCATTGTTCCTCAATGCCTTATGGAAAGGGCTCAGGGACTTTGGGTAGGGATAGGGTCACAATTCATTAATGCTCTCCTGCCCCTACAAGAATGAAATGCATTATATGGCAGGTACCAAGAGGCTCGAGTCCCATAAAGGCCTCTCTTGGGACCCTTTTACTCCTGATGGCATGGGTCGGATAAGATAGTCTCTGAGATCCTGGCCAACTTGAACCTTCCACAGTCCTCTGACTGAATGGGCAAGGCCCTGTAGACTTGAAGAGCAGTCCATGTGACCCAGGAGAGAGTTTAATTCATTCACAGGCGTCCATTGCCTCTGGGCTTGGTGTAAAACCGGTTCTGTCCCAGCTGGGTGAGTCACTAAGGGTGCTCTCCAGAGGAGGGTGTCCTCTCTCACACCCGATGGGGTCCATGTAGATGAGTTAGCAGAGGTGGGTTCTAACCAAAGACATGCAAACATGCTCACACACAAACATACACATACACCACACAACACCCACAGAGCGGGTCTTTGTGAAAGGTAGACGACTACGAGCTGCCCTGTGGAGATGACTTCAGAGCCTACGGGCCTTCTCTAGGCCTGGAGCTAGGGCATAAGATTCTATTTCACCACAGTCCCTACCCAGGAAGATGGAGCTGGGAGGACCAGTGGACAAACGACACCCCTCCTGTGCTTCCCACCATCCTCTTTGTCCACTGTCACAGCTGCCCTCCAGTCCACCTGCTCCCTTGAACCATCTACTCTGTCCCCCAGCTGCCTGCCTGGCCAGTATTCCTCCCTATCTCCAGTCCAGCCCATGTGTCAGCCTTAGTTCATGTCTTTCTCACCCCACCTGCAGTGTAATGAATCTCAT